CTCTCTCTCTCTCTCTCTCTCTCTCTCTCTCTCTCTCTCTCTCTCTCCTCCACAGTCTCTCCCTTAATCCCATTTGCCATTGTACATGCCCAATCGCCTATACTTTCCGCATTTAACTTGGATGACACTTTTATTTCATCATTAGCAACAGACGCCAGACTGACTGACACGGTGGACACAGTTTGCTTTTTGACGAAAGAGCCCGGAATGACACATCTCCATGTTTATACATGTCTTAATTTAATTTTTTTTTAACCGCTCAAACATTTTATTTTATTACTTCTTTCGTCTAGAAGGACGCGTGTTTTCACGCGCTCTCCGGGTGTGAAATCGAGTCAACGCGTTAAATCACTGAGAAGAGTAAAACAGGAACTCCTCGCAGCCAGTATATCGACTGTCTGTAAGTCAGCTTTGTATTTTTCTCTCTCTTTAAATTCCTGCTTCCGTGGTCCTCTGCGTTCAGACCACAAACACAGCGATGCCAGAGACGACGCAAGAGACGTGCGCTTCGGCCAAGGACTCTCCTTTCTTCATTAAGAACCTGCTGAACTGTGATCGCAAACCGTCCAAACCCAAGCCCGTACTGGCTGCAACCAAGCTGGCTTTGGAGGGAGGATTTTCCCTTTCCCAGATCGGGGACTTCAGCTTTCCACGCTTTGACCTGCCCGCACAGAGGTTCAGTCTACCGGCTCACTACTTGGAGCGCACCTCGGCGTGGTGGTACCCCTACGCCCTGACCTCATCCACCCACCTACACAGAACCGAAGGTAAGACTGACAGACCGAAACCAACACTATTTATCATACGATTACATGCGCAGTCAGACTCACTTATAGGCAAGTTATTGTCAGACTTTTAGCCTTTGAATTCTATTTGGATGTTGGAGTCTTTAGTCGACTCTTTATCATTAGAATAGAGAGGAAATACTTCATTATTTTTCTAAATAACAATCACAACATTTCAGGACCATGTACCCTGTGCGCTTTGTGACACATAATATTACGTCTGATTCCAGACATTGCACTTCCACCTCATAAACGTACTCGATAAAAAGGAATTTGGTGCGTTTTGGTGATGGGACATAAGATGCCGTGTGTCGTCTTCAACAGAGTGGATAACGGTTTGACGCCTTGTCCTCTATGGAGGCCTATTTTGTTATGCCACGAGGCGGAATAATAGATCAATAAAGTGACACACTGTGCATAAAATGAAGCAGACATCGTCAAATCATCGGATGAGGGTGACGATGCGCAGCATGCTTTTGATTTGTCTATTGGCGCTCACTGTGAACATCTTCCCCAGAGGCTGACAGCGTTTTTACCTGCCTGTTTCTGTGATTTATTCACGTGGGATTTTAAACAAGCGGGCATGAATCGCATTCATGCAAAGAATAAATGGGGAATTTTTAAAAGCGTTCAATTAGGAGATCTGAATTTGTTTAAATTAAACTACAAAAATATGCAGGCCTAAATATTTAGAATATTGTATTCCCTTAATATATTAAAGTGTTATTTTGGTTATGGGTATATCGTAATTTGAATACACATGTATTTGAACACATTGTCATTCATGTCTAGCTATAAAAATGTGACAAGCAAAAACATTTCTGGCTCTATTTATAACTTAGTTTCCCCAAAGCCCGCAGGCTGTGCAGTATCAACAGGCTGTAATAAAATCCCAAACATACAGCACACAGCCCCAGTGTTTATGACCACATCTCCCTGTGTCCCCATTTCAGTTATCGACAAACTAGGAGCCAGAGACTCCTCTCCAACCTCAGGCACGGACAGAGACTCGCCGGACCTGGTTCTCAAATCCGAGCCAGACGTCAAAGACGATGAAGAGGACGATGAACACAACAACAACAAAAGTGGCGACGAGATAATCCTGGAGGAGAGTGACGCAGAAGAAGCCAAAAAAGACGACCTGGAGGAATGGAGGAAGAGGGACGACGACAAGAAGCCGTGCCGCAAGAAGAAGACGCGCACGGTTTTCTCCCGGAGCCAGGTGTTTCAGCTGGAGTCCACCTTTGACATGAAGCGATACCTGAGCAGCTCGGAGCGGGCCGGCCTGGCCGCGTCTCTCCACCTGACGGAGACTCAGGTGAAGATCTGGTTCCAGAACAGAAGGAACAAGTGGAAAAGGCAGCTGGCCGCAGAGCTGGAGGCGGCCAACCTGAGCCACGCCGCGGCTCAGAGGATAGTCCGGGTGCCCATCCTCTACCACGAGAACTCGGTCTCGGAGAGCGGAGGCATCGGTGCCAACGTGCCCGTGAGCCAGCCGCTGCTCACCTTCCCGCACCCGGGCGTCTACTACTCCCATCCCATCGTCACATCCGTGCCGCTGCTCAGACCGGTTTGAAAATAGCTGAGTCTTGCGGCACAAGTTGGTGTAGATTTTCAAAATCATCCGAAAAGTAAAAAAAGAAAAAGAAAAAAAAGACTTCATATTTTTGTACGACTGACTGAATGAAGAAGAAAAAAGAAAGAACAGAGACACACTGTCGGGCCTACATGGACCTATTTTGGCAAACATATTGTGTAATTTTTCAAAAGGGTGCCGTTTACACGTGATAAAATAAAATCCCATGTTTTATATTATTATAATTATTATTAATATTATTATCACAGGCCTATGTAATTATCACCTCAGGAGTCCACCATGCTTACACTGTTTAATGTGTGTCTTTTCTTTTTTCCCCCTCTAATTTTTACACATCTACTGTTTCTGGACCAACTCCACAGCATTTTTTTTCACATTGTTTATAAAAATTGGCGGCCTAAAGGCGCGGGCCTGCTTATCACCTGACAACATTATTTGATCTTATTTACATTTCCAGAATACACCGAAGGTGTGCTGTGAATGAATGCATCCACTAAACGGAAAACATGTTTTATCATCGGTGGAATATTGATGGGGCTTTGTTGTAATTTCCCTTTTTTTTTGCTTTTTAAAGCGCTTGACGGGGGACAATCAAAACACTGTCAACTGTAAAATACTCATGTTGCTTTATGTTGAGTTTTAGTGAGTCTCACTCTTGTTTCCTCTGAATGGACACGAGCACAAGTGTGAGCTCCCAATGTCTCTTAATCTACTGTGTGTTTTTGAACAGGAGCGGCAAAAAAAAAATCGACTACACTGGTGTAAAAAATATGTAAATGTATATATTTAATGACGCACTGGGAGAAGAGCTGCAACAGCTCATTTGTACAGTAAAAACAACGTTTTGATATTGTATTGCTGAACCATGTTGTGAAATAAATGGAGAATATTCCTTACATTTTAGGTAAAGTTTGAATGACTTCTGTAGGTCTGGAGAATCTCAGTAATGACCAGAGGATATTAAATTGAGCCATTTTAGACTATAATCGACAAATATATATATTTTGTTGCTATAACATAAAACAGTTTTGCACTAAGAGATGCAAAACAATATTAAAAGTAGATGGAATTAATTTTAATTCTGATAGATACACGTCGATCCCTCTATCCACATACACACATACACACAACTTGGACAGGTTTAGGTTTCTGTAATCGTTTTGGTATTATGCACTTTAAAAACGTTATTTTACAAAAAAAAGTGTCTTGGTCAATTAGACGCGTAATTTCCACCATCTTGCCAAAATGATGGGTACATTCAGAAGAGGACATCACTCTGCGTATCAGCTGTTGTCTTTAAAATATAGTGTTCCCTCTGTCATTGCCTTGTATGTGTGTGCGTGCGTGTGTGTGTGTGCGTGTATTGTATGTTAAGTATGAGATGTCAGGATCCACGGATCAAATATCTTTAGCTCTCTATTCTGGTGTTGAAACTGTTGATTTTGGTTGTTAAGTAATTCTTGTATTCATTTGTTTTTAATTTAAGAACTTTTTTTAATGAACGTCATTTTAATTTCTTTCACAACTTTATAGGAAACATCTCTCTTTACAAGGGTCACCTTTAAATAATAATATATAATTGGAGAGGTAGGTATATGCAAATTGTTTTAGGATATATATATATATATATCCCTACTCTTATTTTTTTATTTAAAAAATAACATCTCAGAGTGTCTCCACAGTTAAAGTCTATTGCTCTAAAGCCTAAATCTAAATAAAGTTTGCCAAAAAAATAAAAAGGATGAAACTGCTGCGACCACAGGTGTCACTGACACTTGAAGCGACTATCTCAAGGAAGACATGCATGTCTTTGTATGCAAGTTAAATAAACAATGAAGTTAAATGTATAAAAAGCTACTGGTACCCTAATAATAGGAATCGTGCATGTTTTATGCATACTTAACCTATTTATTTCTTGAATATAGAAGCAAAACGTCTGAGTGAATGTGGAGGGTTGGTTAACTTGATTTTTCGTGATCTAAACATATGATATGCTGCCCAACCTTATGGGGATGGTATTGCTTTATAACCTTAAAAGGATAAAACAGTTTTAGAATAAGTTTTCGTATTTTGACAGGATCCAGGTTCGACATAATTTTACAGTTATTACACATATCATTATTATTTAAATCAATTTTTTAATTTTTTTTTTTTAAATTTTTTAAATAAAACTTGATGTATTATGCTTAACTAGGCAGCAATGCAGATCCAAGAGGAGGAAGCTAAGGGAGGGAGTGAACACTTCTCCGTTTGAGCTGGGCACAATAAAACACGCAACAGCAGTTTCATTCCCTCGTGTCGTGCGCAGGTAGACAAACTATTGACCTCATAGTTAGAGGACAGTTTTAATCTGCCTGCATAAATATATCTGATTACAGACAGCACTTGGATTGCCCAAATATGAGAAATATTGCCATAAAGAAAAAAGTATTCAAAGTTTAACAGATTATGAGGCACGTGTATTTCTCAGAACAACCTTTGCGTCAAAGGTCATTTCCTGTTTTCATCTGTAGGCTAATACAGTTATTGGAAATGAATCAGTCAGCTATAAACTGATATGATGATGACCTCATCAAGACACAAAGGGTTCATTCAAATATCGTGAGATCACCCAAAGTATTGATGTATATACCTACCGCGCGCACTCAACATGGCCCCATTACCGCAAATTAATAGATTGCTCTGGCATTATTCCTCTGGCACATATCGATCCGTAAACGTCTGCATCATATTGCGTCAAGTAAGAGCAAGGTTCACGCGCCACTTCGGCTCAGCTTGTGACCTTGATTTGCGCGCATAAATTGAAAAAATTACCACTCGATAATTTCCATTTGTGCGACATCTGCATGTAAACGAGTAAAGGGAGCAGATCAGATAAAGTACATTTGCAGCAGCGGGGGCAAACGGACGTGACCGGGGACGTCGCTCACTGAATTACATTAAAATGGAGAGCGTGAATGGGTCATTTTAAGCCCTATAAGTGCCAGTTTGGAAACACACAAGTGGCCCGACCACCTTGCGTAACGCTAGCCTCTTCTGTGACCACTGGCATCTGCTCATGTGTGTGTTGGACTATTAAAGTTAGTTGTAGGGGGATTTAATGTCTGCATGCACAGATTAAAGCATTTAACTAGAGAACCGAAATTGGCTCTGTCGTGGCAGAAGCCTACAGAACCGTGTCTGGCAGTGGTTCAAGGGTTGGCACAGGGTAAGACAGACATCAAGCGAATCAGTTATATTTTAATTGAAGCATTAAGAGATTGATATTGACTATGTAAACGTAACCCTCAAGAATAAAGTTATTTTAAATTATATTAAACAACAGATATCCTCCTTGATTGGCTTCCTCCTGTAAGTTGGGCCAAAAGTGAATGCGCGCATAGAAAAGTTCACCTCAAAGACACCTCTCGCGTTGGTACTGTGCGTCAAAGCGTCTGCTTGAGATACAAACTGGTGAATTTCCGCAATCAGAAGCCAAACAAAAGTGATCGGACGCGTCAGAGCTCGTGTGTTTGAACAACTCTTTTGACACTTCTCGAAGAGGAAATCTTGTTTTAAACCCATCCCATTTGCTTTGCTGATTGAATGCGAGCATCAGATTTTCATCAAAGTTATATTAAGTGAAACATAGGTTGCGGGGCACCGTCTGATTGGAACAGTTTAAATTTTAATTGTGTTTTTAATTTGACATATAGTTGCTGTGAAGAATGACACTGAAACGCCGAGGGGCGGTCGATTTTCTTAATTTCTCCCCGAGGAATTGATGAGTCTATCAGGGCAGTAGATTGGAAAGCCATTAAAACTCAATGGTTAGGTTGTTAATTGGAACTTGATGGATAGGAGCCCGTGGATAGGCTGTACTGATCCAATCTTCCTGACTTTGTGTTTTCCAATAAATTACCCAGTTCATTTCCACACTCAGATTACATAAATTGTACACCTCCAGGGCTCGGGCGCTCAGCTTGAGTTTACATCTCTCTCTCTCTCTCTCTCTCTCTCTCTCTCTCTCTCTCTCTCACTCTCTCTGTCTCTCTCTGTCTCCCCTCTCTCACACACACACACACACACACACACACACGCACACACGCAAATGTGCGCGTACGGACATGCGCAAACGCCTCCTGAAAAAAGAGCAGGCCTCGCTTTCTTGAATGAAAATCGAAACGTAATCAACGTTTATACTTAGAAAATTTATTGATATCATTTTCTCTGGTAATTTCCTTATTCTAGAGTTGGACACGCCATATATCATAATACACACGTGTAAAGGGTCTTTGTTTAATATTTATCGAAGCTTGATTCCCAGATCAAAGCGCCTCATAACTTCATCTGTCTTTCTCAGACCTTTCTCTCCTGCTAAAGATCTTGTTCTGTTATTGCATGCAGTCGGGCAGCCGTACGCCACCTATCATTGTGATAGAGCACGAACTCAGGCCCGCTCCATGCTGTTTGAGGCCTCGCTGAAAACGCAGAAACACGAGCAAGGGATGAACATTTCCATACTAATACACTAATCGGCCTGTAACCAAACGCCAACTCTTACTTACAACAAACAGCGCGTGCAATTGACTCTGTGCAGCACAATAGCAGCCTGATATGTCCACTAACTACGATGAACTAATCTCACTTTGCAAAAGTCGTCTGAAAGTGCTGAAGGCGGCTCCACTGACAAAGGTCTTTGTTTGAAAAGAGCGGCATATAAAACAAACCCATTTAACTGTCATTGCAGATTTCACGCCTTATGTGTAACCACCATAAATCCAGCATCCGCCCTGACTGCCCTCATATATTTGCCCCCCCGCCCCTCAGTAAAGCCTCCCCTGCGAAAGCGTTTTGTTAAGATCGTTTAGCAGCTGCTGGCCCCCGCTGCCAGTTGACGATATTTACGCGTGAATCCAGATGCTTCTGTCTGGTTCCTATGAAGAAGATGATGATGACGACGGCAGGATCTGTTGTCAACATCATCATCGCCATCATCATTATCAGCGGCCATAGTCGTCGTCTTCTACATTTTCCAGCCCGCCTTTAACACCGAATGCCGGTTGTGTGGCTACCGGGAAGGGCGCTGACATGATGATTAAAGCTGACCATTTGTAATGTGTCTGGGGCTCCCTTACAAAGCAGTAAAAGAGGGATAATGTGCCCGAACCGCCAGATCAAGCCCCGCAGCTGTCCCACAGCCAGACGCAACCAGAGAGAGAGAGAGAGAGAGAGAGAGAGAGAGAGAGAGAGAGAGAGAAATAGAGCATGGGTGGTGTTGGGAAGCGCGCCCCCCTCCTCTCACACACCACACACGCGTGCGCGCACTCAGCCCCCACCACCTCCAATCAATTAGTCAATCAATTAGCCGGCCTCTACTCCACGCGCGGTCATCACGAGGCAGATTAGCTCAGTAATGATCAAATTAATTCTTAATCGCTGATAATGGACACGGAATGAGTTTATTATTTTCAGGAAAAATGAGTTGGGCCTTTGTATTAGTTAAGTCTGCATGCATGTTACCGTAACCCCGGCTAATTTAGCAGGCAGAGGATGAAAAAAACATGAGGTCATCCTCAGTTGACTGGGCCGTTTCCTGGTTGTACAAGTTGCAGTTCCAAATAAAAAAGAGACAACAAGCTGTGTTTATAAACGAGGCATATTTAAGACAGACCACACCAAGATACTGCAAAAAAAGGTTGATTTTTTTTACACATGGCAATTTAGTGCAACATTTTTACAGGTTTTTTTTTAAATTCATAACCAA